GAGTTGGTGAACCAAACGGTGCAGCAACAGCAGCTTTTTCATTGTTATTGTTAGATCCATAGAAAATTGTTCAGTCGTAGAATTCCCACCACTGGTACCTATTATGACTATTTTTAGTTAGGTATTAACATTTGTCAACAAATGAATTGCACGTGGATCACTTATATTGGTTGTCTCATCCATTCTGTCGTCAATTGTGCTATAGAGTTCATTATATCCAAGCTCTTTATTAACAGCAGTGGCTAACCTAGGCCTTTAATTGTAAAAATCTCCAATGGGAGTTTTCACATCTTTACCTTGAATAGTAGTATCTTGTAAAGCTGTGGAATCAGAACTGGACTCTGAAGATGCAGTCTTTTTCTTCTGTATAGGCTGGGACGTCGGTTGTAGCACACCACGCAAGAGTGGTTCACCAGACGCAATTACGGGCTTTTGTATTGCACTAGCATCTCCATCATCACAAGAATCTTTGTCGTGACTGGGCCACGCTGATTTCCAAACACTTTACCGCAAGCCAATGATCCCATTCAATCTGGACAACTGTATGGGGCGTTATTCAAGAACAAAGCACCATGTCTTGCAGAGAACCTGAACATCACACAGAGTTTAATGGGTTCTCTTAGATTGTGAACTGGGTTATGAGGCAGAAACAACCTTCCTAGTTCACTTTGATTTATAATATCTACAGGCGCATCATAATTTTTGACAAGATGCAAGAGTCCTCGGTATGAGACCTCCTGCTGTCCAACCAGGTGACGTCTTCGTTGTATACGGGTCTTCCTTATCTCTGCATTTCTCTTCTGTGACCTTGTGCGCTTCTGGTATAATGTACCCAACAGGTAGTCGCATTTTACAGTCGGGAAGCGTGAGCAACTGTGTATCACGCAGATGGGGTTTTCTGAAGAACTCCTTACTCTCAGGTATCACGACTTCATAAAGCTTCATATGGGAGGTGGTATGTACATTTCGAATCTGTATACTTTCTTGAGTTGTTAAGTATTTCAAGCAAGATGATAATGGTTCGCAGGACAAGGAATGAGAAAAGTAAGCAGTGTTGGGCACGAAAGATTCTTTAGGACCTTCGATATTTAAATAGTTGGCTGACTTGGTATCAATCATCGTCAGATCAGATTCATCAACTAACAATGCATATACATGAACAGACGATCTTGGTCGGCGATCTTTGATGGGCGACATACCTAAGCATACTTTACGTACGTTATGTGCCTCACAGGAACTATTAATACTAGCTGACCAGAAATGATTCTTACGCTTTTTCAGTAATGGACGTGATTTTGCTGAATTTCCAGGGCCATTCATATTCTCAGTTCTACAATTCGGTTTCATATGTCCTTTTTTAGGACAAGCAAGCAGTACATTGTCGTATATGATCATGCCTGTACAAACGGTATGTTAATCATGTAAATGCTTAATTTATGTGAAATATATATTATTATTCATAGTTGTTTCTGTTTCGCGAATTCAAATCTTTCCAAAGGGGAGGTTGTAAGAGATTCATCACATTTATGTGGTGGGTGTGAATTACCACAGTTAATACGTACTTCAAATCTGGCGGTGTTCCGTAAGCCTTTCGCCACAAATGATTTCCTCTTACTCAGTAGTATGTTAGCTTCAGTATTGAGGTGTAAGGTCTTAGCCAAATCGCTGATTGTTTGGCTTAAACTATCTCCTACGAGCTTCAAAATATCAGATTTATGCTCAACAGCCTCTTTCCCCAAGCGGATAATAATCTTAACCCACTTTCTCTTTAGTCGAGTAGGTAGACGTCTGGCAATTATCTCAGTAACAGAACTTGAATTCAAACCATTCATGCAATTAAGAGATATCAATGTATTTTTATAGGTCATCATGTTATCCAAAAATAGAGTGAGGTCCTTGAAATCATTCCTTAACTACAGAGCATTACTTTTGACAATGTGGAAACACTCTCTAGAAATTATGTGTGGCCTTCCGAAACTCTGGCGCAATAGTCTTTTTAAAGGCTGACAGTATTGACGTTCGCGAATTGAACGGAGTATACTAACGCAAGATCTAATACCCACAATTTCTATAGTATTCATTCCGCGTAGACCAAAGGCAAAGCAAAACACAATAAGTGATCATCCAAATTACTAGATGTATTTCGGGACCAAATCAGAGTCCGAGATGATTGCTTAGCTAGCTAGGGATTGTGCACGAACGAACGTGACACGACAGCGTACCAAATGGCATGGATGCTTGACCGGAAGCCTTCAGCTAAACAAGTTAACTTAAACAGTGAGGGTCAGCATTCAATGTTCAGTGACGAATGCTGTAGCCAATAATTTTGGGGAATTATTTACTGCTACAATACCATAGCGCCACCGAAAATATCTTCAACCCCACCGACAGCGTCGATCTCAACGCCTGCTTGTGACATGATTCGGGCAGTGGTCGCAGCATTTCAAAAAGCGTTGACGACCTCTGACACAACAGCACAGTTCTCAAGTACCAGACCTAAAGTAAAATTCCCCTCACCAGTAACGTTTGTTCCAGTTGAATCGTTCACCTTATGGGAAGAGCGATGTCGGCTCTATATTCAACAGTTCGACGAAGATCAAAGAGCTAGTACTGTTATCTACTGGTTATCGATACCTGCACTGAAACGCCTCAAGTTGGCTGAGGAAACGGTGGCGGTGCGAGAGCTGTTCACAGCCATGCGTCAAGAATTTGCGCCGCACACCTATGTTCTTGGGCAGAGGGCTGCCTTTCACGCTGCGTCCAACGCAGCGCGAAAGTAAGGAGGAACACCTCTGGCGCTCACAAGAGCTGGCTCCTGTGGCTTTTGAAGGAGACTCAGCAGGAGAGATAAGCTCCCGTATCCTTCATCAGATCGAAGAGGGTTTACTGCACGATGAAGTGGGAGAACATGTCATCGAAAGTAACTCTATATTCCCCGTAGAAGCCCTGCAGGTCGCCAGACAGAAGGAGGCCCTCATTAAGCTTCGTAAAAGCCAACGAACAACAGAAGGGTCCCATACGCTATCACGACCTTGCGAACCGACAATACCTCGTAAGCATCTTGCAAAATAAACCCACACCCATTAGGCAGAGGTCTCGACAGTTTCCTCAGCCTACCTTCAAAGCAAGATAAACCCCAATTCAATCACGTCCAAGGGCGGGCTGGACGGACCCCCGCTTCTCAGAAGAAGTTAGTGAGTCTTCCCTTTTGTACCTAATGTTATGCAAATATTCGAGGGTCCATATATAGACAAGCAGCTGCCAACTGTTTTAGTGAAATTTCATGACAGAACTCTCGTCGGCTTGGTGGACACAGGTGCAGCTCGCGCGTTGCTGTCTAGCAGACATTGTAGTGATGCGTTCATGACTGTCACCCTCCACCTAAAACTTCACGCGGGCAATGGTTCTCGAATGAAGCTGACTGGGTAGCCGCTAGTATTGTATTACTTCCAAGTGGAATTGGAAATACACTCTACTGTTAGTAGCTTTTCCTTCTCTCTCCCCATTTGTTTCTACTGACCCAACTCATACCGTGTTGTATACTTTGGATTTATTGCAGGAACCTATTATTCTTATCCGAAGACAACTCTACAACCGGACCACAGTTTCTCTCAGTAGACACGATTGCAACAGTCAGCGCTTTTGTGGATTATATAAATAATTTGTAGCAGTGGACTTTAACAACGTATCCAAGTAACCTATTAATTTATATAACTCACTAATGCATTTCGATAATATATTTTTGCATTGTTCTCTCATTGACTTGGATTTTTATTCGCATATTTGTTATGTTAATGAGCTTGCTCTAAACAGTCTCCTACAGGAGTTTCGACATCGTCTCAGGATTACACAGTATTGGAATTATAGCATCTTAGAATATATATATACATAACAAAACTGTACATTCGTGTATTTATAATAAATAGATGGGAAAGTTCCAGAATAAATTCCGGTCAAGGATCAAATTAATAAAATTACAATTAAGAATTAAGATGCCATAATAAACATGTGGGTGGGGGCGGATAAAAATTCAAACAAAGTAGCATCATAATTACTGAGAAGATTGACATATTGTGCAATTAAGGGTGTTGAAAATGTAGAAATAACAAAAACCTAGGCTATGTATCCAAAAGAACTACGTCCATCCCTTGTCCTTGACATGGCCATCATTAACAGGTAATTCTTGCAATAGTGACTATCCCATCGCCTTTCTTATCCAAACTTCCTCTTTATTCATGCTATTTTTAAGTTTTTCTTAATCCTTATTTACACTACCATATTTTCATATCCGAACTTCCTGTTTATTTTGTCATTTTTTTTTATTTCTACATATTTAATCCCTGATTGCATGAGCAATTATTCGTCACATTAGTTAAGATCCCACTAGATATTTTCTTGTTCTCTTCTCCCACCCGATTTAATTTCTGCACCTCATTACCACTGTTACTGACTTGGCCAACGCTCAATTTCTAGTCACATGTGTTACGTCATCCAACTTATTTGCTCAATTTCACTTCTAATTTAAATGGCATTATTCTCTACCCTGACCTAAGTTGAAGCAATTTAGTCAATTATATTACGTCATCTAACTAACTCAATCTTACTCTAGTTTCTGTCTAATTAACCTTGTTTCTATATTAGATCATACTTGTATTACCTGATTAGTTATCTAAACTTGACAAACCTCATGTACACACACACACACAAATAATTATATATGTAAATGTGATTGTACAGCTATGTGAATGAATTCAACGTTGAAAAGAGTCTCTTCGCTGAACGCCTTCTCTTTTTTCATTCAACTGTCTTTTTATTATTCCCTATATGATCAAATGTGTATATTCCATGGTATAACAAAACATATATCTACACATGATGTTATATAAGACGCGAATTACTGCTATCAGAAGAAAAATAAACTGAGGAAATCACACCGAAATCTACCAACTTCAATGAATGCAGCATGGACTAAGAAAAACAATAATTTACAAGGAAAATCTTTATTCTTCATCTAATTCTAATAAAGGAAATGCAGTTAAGGGAATAACTGATGAGTTATAATGTGCCCCATGAGGAATGTCACTACTAATACCACTACTATTGTCAGTTTCATTACATTCTGGGATTATTCTCAATATTCCTTCTCCTTCTTCTAGTGTTGTTGTTGCTGTTGTTGTTGGTGTATCAGGGCTGTCTGCGGAAATGATATCGTTAGATTGAAGATCGTTTTTGGGCGGAAGACTTTCAGATTGATTCAAATCAATGCCATTATTGGATTCTGATGAATTGATGAGGGGAGAACAGTTTTGAAACACACTGTCATGAAGATGTTCGGAAGGATTTGTATCACACAATTCAGGATGTGAATAATCTGTGAAGATAAAAGAAGGAAATGAGGCATTTTTATTCAGTAAAGATCAGTGAAAAGTTTTCAATCTAAAAGAAGTCTGTTAATATATGTGTAAAACTTGGGCACTGTGGTAGTAAGTAATTCCATATTAGTTTGTTTATTAGATGTATCGCACAGTGAAACAGTATTATTTACTGGATGACGTTTAGAACAAAATTTATTGTTCATAATCATATCAATTGTAATCACACGACTTTGACACTTGAGTTTTATAGTTTTCTTTGTTCTCTCCTATTTGTCGTTTGGCTAGTAGAATTTTCCAGATATCGGGGACAGGTGATGAATCATTCCTATTACATGTATTTGCAGTTGATTCGATAAACAAAGCTTCTGTTATCAATCTCTCCCTCCACCCAGCCGTTACATTAGATTTTAAAACTGTCATCTCATCCCATCCATCCTATTGTATGGTTGCGTGTAACTGCATGTAGTGCTATAGCTGAACTATTGTCTAGATTTCTTATCTTATTCGGGTCAACCAATCAACAAGGAAGGAACCTCGGAAGCCTTACGCAGAATTCTTAACAAGGCAGGAAGAAATGTGGCTGGCACTCAAACCAACCACAAACTCAATTAGAAACAAGCTTTGTCGGTTAAAGGATCAATCCTGTGGAGACAATAAAACAAAACAATTTAGTTTATCTAATACCCTACCTGCAATGATTGTCAGGTCAAATACATAGGTCAAACTAGTTACACACAACCATACAATAGGATGGATGGGATAAGATGACAGTTTTAAAATCTAATGTCACAGCTGGGTGGAGGGAGAGACTGATAACTGACTGAGGCTTTATTTATCGAATCAACTGCAAATGCGTGCAGTAGGAATGATTCAGCACCTGTCCAGTTGGACATCTGGAAAATTCTACTACCCCTACGACTACGAATAGGGGAAAACACAAGAAACTATAAAACTCAAGTGTCAAATTCGTGTGATTACAGTTGATATGATTATGAACAATAACAGATTGTGTTCGAAACCGTGTCATCCAGTAAATAATACTGTTTCACTGTGTGATATATCTAGTAGACAAACTAATATAAAAGAAGTCTAAAAGAACTAAAGGGACATCTAAATATTGTGCGAATAACCACTATAAAGTTGAGCAATCTTACCAGGATAATGCTGATTATTTGATTCAGTTTCAGAAGATGAGGCAGAATCATTTACAGATTTATACAGGTTATTTTTAGAGCAACTCAATTCAGCATCCAATTTTGTAGAGCTTCCTTCATTGTCCAAATGATTTAGATTTCCATCACTTTCATGATGATGATGATGATGATAATGGTGCGTGTCTTCTTGACCAAGGGCGTTTTCCCTGTGAATGACAAGTCAGAATATATTAAGAGTAATGGTAAAAATAATAATAATTTGCTTTATTCCAAAACAGTACTTGTGATACAGAATGGAATTCTCAGCATTTTTTACTACTGTATTGCATCCATTTGGTACAATAAATAGAATTCTACATAGATTAAGGAAATCTCAGTTCATTATGACAACAACATGTTGGCATGTCGGTAGCAGAGCCAAGGTTGAACAGTGTTTGAAGGTGTTAGAAAAGTAGGAGCTGTCTTATTAACTGGCGTAAGCGAGAGAAAGAAACAAAGCAGCACATAACGGAAAAAGAAGAGAGAAAAAAGGAAAAGAAAGAAAATGTTGTACCTATAAATGATATGAGTTGGAAAGACGACATCCAGTTGTTCTACTGACTATTTAATAAGTTATAGGTATCACGCCTGATGCTTTCTTTATCGCACAAAACACGAGCTAAGTATGGTATGGTTGAGTTTTTGTACTTACTAGTGAGAGCATATAGTTTTCTATATAGGCTTCTGGTTTTGCCTGATGAGATGCAAGGGGAGAGTTGTGAATGAATAGGGTGGTGTGAGTTAGACAGAATGGATTTAGCCCATCTTTCACATGAGTCCATGTGCCTGTCGACCAGAATATTAACAAGCTGGTTAAGTGGCACGTTGCTTACCCTGCTGACAACCTTTAACATCCTGCGTAATAGGTTATAGTCTTTCTTCAGTAGCCCTGGAAAAACTAAGGGAGAACAATAGAGAATAATAGGCAGGATGCGAGAATTAACGAATTGTAGGAGTAAGGGTTGGGTTATACCAGAATGTCTTAACTTCTTGATGTAGAAGGTAAGACGGAATATTTTCTTAGAAATCGATGTAATCAATCAGTGTATATCAAAAAGATTACTTCTAGAAAAAAAGCAAACATGAAGTTTAATCACGGATTGATACCGCTTAGAGAAGCATTGAAAATCAAGGAGTGAGACCATTCGGCAGTTTGCATCAACCGAACAGAATTCGAACCCAGGACCTTCCGGTTGCAAAGTAAGCCCATAGACCATTCAACCACTAAGGTCCGATCCGATAGACATCCTATTAATTCTAAACTCTACCAATTCATGGCACCAGACAATGGCCATCGGTAAGTATTTGTCCACACTTTCCGACCAGATGGACTCCACTATAGTCACGACTTTTCACTGGAATTGAAAGCAACTTCGTCCTGAATCCATTCATTGGCGAGCATCAGTCTAATTTTTAAGAGTTTTCGAAAATAAACATGAAATTGAATATATTTGTAGCTCAATAAAAGCTACATATTAGCTGTTTCTAGTCTAGATAAAGGTGCAAAGTTTTTTCGAGCCACCTCTTCAGACTACACGGCTGCTTTTGACTCTATTCCTAGGGAGGGCTCTTTTACTAAGCAAGGTGATTTCAGCAAACACTGAGTCCTGGGTGACAAGGTGGTTGTCCTACTATTTTTCCAGTAGAAAACAACATACTGTTTTAATTGGAAAGCCCTATAATTCTTCGCTTACGGAAACTGGTGTGCATTCAGGCGTTTTACTCTCTCTCTATTCCCTTTTCTCTCTTTTTGTTTGATCTTCCAAAGCTAATTTCATCAAATATGTTGCTGATCTGACTATTTCCAACCCAGTATTTTCTGCATTCCATTGTTCTAACTTGAATAGTTTCTTATCTAAGATTAACCACAAAGTTCTCCCTCAAATGGTCTTGAACTGAATTCATCTAAATGTCATGCTCTTGATTCTAGTTTCAGACATGCACAAGACCTGAATAGGTGTGGGGGATTTAGTCCTATGATTTCTGTAATATAGATGGCAGTGTGATCGAGAATAAATCAAATATCTGCTATCATGGCGTTAATTTCTCTTCAAATCCCTGTCGGTCGTCACATATCCTGCTGATTTCTAGGAAACGATTTTCATTTGACTTGTTGCCTAAAGAAGTGGAGACTTTCTGTTGGCATAACTCAACCTCTTCTGTTGCAATTTATTAATTTATTATTGTTTCCTTTAGTTCCTAGAGGAACATAGGGCTTCAGCCTCTCGTCTCTATTGCGGTCACTTCTCTGCCAACGTTTTCACCTGGCTCCACGTCTGCTGACATGCTTTCATCTCCTGTTCACATGACCTCCTCCAAGTCACCCTCCACTGAAGACAAACTAGCCGCTTCCCGTTTGGGTCCCACTTGAGTGATGGTCTCGCGTCTGATGTCACTTGGTGGTATCTTTTCTCAGAGTATAGCCAGTCAATTCACCTCCATTTCTTTCTGCATATTTCTTGCACAATTGGTTCCTGTTGGGTTGGTTGGTTCGCTCGTTGCTAGAGATCCCTCACTATTGCTGATCCTTTCTGGCCATCTGATCTTGAGTATTGAGCGAAGAAAACTGTTGATGAAGGTCTGTAGTTCGTTTGAGATGCTCTTTATGACGCGCCAAGTCTCTGATCCGTGTAGTAAGTGGCACTGACTTCACAATGGAGTTGAAAATCCGGATCTTATTTTTCATGCTGAGTGCTGTTGATCTCCACACAGACTTGAGAGTAATGAAAGCTTTCCTTGCTTTCTCGATGATCCTTGCTTTAATATCCTCGTCCGTTCCGCCTGTAGTCGATATGATGTTTCCCAGGGAGGTAGGTAGGTTAAAGAAGTTGCTTCTTTCAGATTTCTCCCATTTATGCTAGCTGATTGTTTTCTGTAGTTGTTGTTGTTGCTGTAGCTGTTGGCCAGGAATCTTCATCATCACCTCTGTTTTCTCTGTGTTCATCTGAAGGAAGTCCTATCTTCTCTAGATGCTTTTTCTGCCAACCTGTTGCTTTTCACTTGCATATCTTCCAGTTTGTGGAAAATCAGACGTTTATCATCGGCGAAGTGGAGATCCTCCCAGCTTTTTGTGTGGGTCCATTTTAGGCCTGTATCCTAGCCACATTACGGATCATCATTGAGCAAAGCTTAGAGTGGCAGTCACCTCTCTATCTCAACTTCATCGACTTTGAAAAGACCTTCAACACCGTCGATCGAGAGGTGATTTGGCAACTACTTCGCTACTACGGGGTGCCACCGACAATAATACATCTCATCCAACAGCTATACGACAATGCTGCATGCCAAGTAATCCACAATGGGAAACTTACGGAACTCTTCGAAGTGAGGACAGGAGTAAGACAAGGCTGCCTACTATCGCCAATGATTTTCTTGACTGCAGTAGACTGGATAATGCGACAAACAGTGGGCAATGAGGAAACAGGCATAAAATGGACACACACAAAAAACTGGGAGGATCTCCACTTCGCCGATGATATATGTCTGATTTCCCATAAACTGGAAGATATGCAAGCGAAAAGCAACAAGTTAGCAGAAGAAGCATCAAAGATGGGACTTCAGGTGAACACAGAGAAAACAGAGGTGATGAATATTCCTGGCCAACACCACCAACAGCAACAACAACAACAGACAACAATCAGCATAAATGGAAGGAACCTGAAAGAAACAACCTCTTTTACCTGCCTACCTAGGAAGCATCGTCTCAACTACAGGCGGAACTGACGAGGATATCAAAGCAAGGATCGGAAAAGCAAGACAAGCTTTCACTATTCTCAAGTCTGTGTGGAGGTCAACAACACTCAGCATGAAAAATAAGATCCGGATTTTCAACTCCAATGTGAAGTCAGTCAGTGCTACTATACGGATCAGAGACTTGCACTGCGCGTCATAAAGAGCATCTCAAACAAACTACAGACCTTCATTAACAGTTGTCTTCGCTCAATACTCAAGATCAGATGGCCGGAAAAGATCAGCAACAGGGATCTCTGGGAGCGAACCAACCAGGAACCGATTGTGAAACAAATAGGCAGGAGGAAATGGAGATGGATTGGACATACTCTGAGGAAACCATCAAGTGACATCACTAGACAAGCCACCGCTCGAGTGGAACCCGAAAGGGAAGCGGCGAGTTGGTCGTCAGTGCAAGGGTGACTTGGAGGAGGTCATGTGAAGAGGAGATGAAAATGTGTGGGCAAACTTGGAGCCAGGTGAAGACTCTAGCAGAGAACAGAACGCAATGGAGACGCACGGCTGAAGCCCTATGTTCCTGTAGGAATTAAAGGATATAATAATAATAATCCTAGCTTTTCGCTGTCTGTCGCATTATCCACTCTACCGCAATCAGGAAACTAATCACTGGAAATAGTAGACAGCCAGCCAGCTTGTCTTACTCCCGTCTTTACTTCAAAGGATTCTGTGAGTTTTCCTTTGTGGATTACTTGGCATGCAGCATTGTCGTACAACTGTTAGATGAGGTGTATAAATGTTGGCGGCACCCCATAGTAGCGAAGTAGTTGCCAAATCACCTCTCGACCGACGCTGTTGAAAGGATGGGGTTGTATATTAAAATGTATTCCTGACTAAGAAGTTACGATAAATTCTGACTAAACCTAGAGTTGTAATCGCATAAAATGTCAACCGTCTGTAAAAGAGGTACATTCGTAAATAAAGATTCAACATCTAGGGAAAACATCGTTTTGTCCTTTGTATAAACCTAGAGTAACTGAAACACTAGTGCCGCTGTAAAAAGTAGAGATTATGTTCCCTGTATAATTATGATTGTCATGAATAAACAAAATGTGAATTATATTATTTATCTATTATTTTATTCCTTTATGTCCTTAGTGGAAGGGGTATTTATTTTTTACGGGTTAGGGTTGAAAGCCTCATGCATAACCTTCCCTCTTTACCAGTCCTTATTACTGGCTTAGTGAGGTAAAGGAGTGCGTCTTCGGCCGGAAATCGAACCCAGAACAAAAAAACCGTGGATAATAATGTCAAATATTAAAGTTATACTCACTGAATACTGCACAAATCATTATGTGGTGCTTCTGCAGCGTCTCCAGGAGAAAACTCGACATGATCCGAGAAACTCACAGATCTTGTTGGTTGCCTGCATGGAGATAAATGATTATCATATTGCACATTGTTTCCATCGGGTTCCACTACCGAAAATTTGTCAGTCGATAAAGTTTGTTGAAGATGTATGTTATCACCTTCAGATGGTACAGCATCCTGATTGTCACCAGCTAGTCCAGCAGCATCACCACCTTCACCAACACGTAAATCATTTCTTTCTGAAATACCTTCTTCATCTCCACTACATTCTATATCAGAAGTGAGTAAAAAAAGAGGACGACCAAAATATAAGTGGAAGTTAACGTAATAAATATGTAAATGTACAATGAAGGGAATAAAATGTGTCATAGATGCATTAGTAATTCAATTAAATTGAACCACTTTGATTAAAACAGAAATGTTGGAATGTGACTTTATGTAGTGATAACACTGCAATGACATAAGACAAGGGTCACGGCAACAGATCGTTTATTGAGAAAACCAACAGATATTTCTAGATTTTTATGTACATTATTATTAGTGTTATTGTTAGCAGAGAAGCAACAACTTCTGACTGGTTTTCTTCTTGCTGAAGGTTATTCTGTCATCTGTTTGTGACCGTTTCTTAGAAAGTTAAGCCATACATCTGCGAGTCTTATTTGCACACTAAGATATGTGTAAAACTTGGGCACTGTGGTAGTAAGTAATTCCATATTAGTTTGTTTATTAGATGTATCACACAGTGAAACAGTATTATTTACTAAATGACAAAGAATCGAACAAAATTTATTATTGTTCATAATCATTTCATCAATTATAATCACACGACTTCGAAACTTGAGTTTTATAGTTTTCTTTGTTCTCTCCTATTCGTCATCGTATGGGTAGTAGAATTTTCCAGATTTCTGGCTGGACAGGTGTTGAATCATTCCTATTACATGTATTTGCAGTTGATTCGATAAACAAAGCTTCTGTTATCAATCTCTCCCTCCACCCAGCCGTTACATTAGATTTTAAAACTGTCATCTCATCCCATCCATCCTATTGTATGGTTGTGTGTAATTGCATATAGTTAGTGCTATACTTGAACTATTCTCTAGATTTCTTATTCTATTCGGGTCAACCAATCTAGATTTTGCTAGGTTTTTATGCTCAGCTAGTCTGACTGACTGCCCCTGTTCTACTAGTTTGACCTATGTATTTGACGTGACAATCATTGCAAGTAGGGTATTAGATAAACTAAATTGTTTTGTCTTATAGGCTCTACAGGAGAATAGTTCAGCCATAGCACTACATGCAGTTACACACAACCATACAATAGGATGGATGGGATGAGATGACAGTTTTAAAATCTAATGTAACGGCTGGGTGGAGGGAGAGATTGATAACAGAAGCTTTGTTTATCGAATCAACTGCAAATACATGTAATAGGAATGATTCAACACCTGTCCAGCCAGAAATCTGGAAAATTCTACTACCCATACGATGACGAATAGGAGAGAACAAAGAAAACTATAAAACTCAAGTTTCGAAGTCGTGTGATTATAATTGATGAAATGATTATGAACAATAATAAATTTTGTTCGATTCTTTGTCATTTAGTAAATAATACTGTTTCACTGTGTGATACATCTAATAAACAAACTAATATGGAATTACTTATTTGCACACGTTGAGCCTGCTGTGACTGGTTAGTGAGTTCCTCAAGGTTAAGCTTTGTTATTGTTTTTATCATGACCCTGACACCGGACGTGAACATTGACGTAAATTGTTGTCTACAATTTTGGCTTTTTGGCTACTTTTTTCATAATTTATGCAATCATTCCCCAGAATACACATGAATTGGTCGTCTAAAGGCAACCAATGTAAATGTGTTGTTGTTGTAAATATGTGCTATTAATCTCTGACAACACTAATTACAGCGAGCCAAATTAAAATACTTAGTGTGGATCACATGAAATCACTGAAGGAGAAATTAGCACACTGAGAGGAGGTTGGATATCAAGCCCCCATCGTAATTCACATCCACAAGAGGACCAATCCAATTCGACTCAGGTAAAGCAGAATGTAGTCTATATATACATATATATGCATTCCATTCACTTAACTTCCGCCTACAGCAAGAGCGATGATGATATCTCATTGTCACGTAAAATTACAGCCTTAAAACCAACACAATCTGGACTGCTAATATTCCCTCCCCCACCCACCTCGCCACTAGTGCTTCATTTGTCTTCAGATTTATATTTCAAAACTCTCTGTTAGTCAAAATATTTAACAAATCAAGTAGTATCCTACATCTATACAATTACTGGCAAAGTTCAATAATAGCATCCCAAGGGATGCGAATGCACGAGTGACCTTCAGCCGACCAATCATACAAATGAGGAAGTTTTGCACAAAAAATGACGTATATTTACAAGAACATGCATGAAAACACACTAAACAGGTCATCTCTCTCTGACATGACTTAAAAATACGCCCCAGTCATAATGAGGAGTATCAGTTCCTCAGTTAGACTAGTTTCTGTACATGTGTTCGCCGAGGTGACTGAAGATGAACTGTTTTTGTGAATCGTTCATCTCTCTTATCCTGTTGTGCAGTCCTCCCCAAAGCCCTAGCGGTTGAATTACTATAGTTTCCAGTAAGAGGATCGACGACTACTTACCAGGAAAGTGTGGATAATAAAACAAATTAGAATAAATGACATCAACTCTAAATGTATCCCTAACCCTAACCCTTAACTTAACATTAACCCTAATCATAACCTTTATCTAAACCGTAATTCTAACCCTAATACTAATTATAACCCTAATCCTAACCCTAACGAGCTATTAACACACTGTCCAAACAGTACTTAAAAACGTGATCTGGGTGAAATTTGCTGCTTAGCTGATGAAGAGCCTTGACATTTCAGCTATGATAATGACAGGTGCCGTTAGCCAACGACTAGCATGCACTCAAGGCAGTTGGAGCGTTCGCACTCCTGGGACGCTATTGTTGAACTTCACCCAATGACTTATCAAGCGCATTTAAAAAACAGAATGCTGTAACTTGAAAGTAATAATTAATTAGTAATACGCTACTTGATGTAAGGATAAAACACACAACCACACAATAGGGTGGGTGGGTCAGAGTCAAAATTCTAAAAAGTAATATAGATAGGTGGAGATAGAGAGAGGGGTTGATTACTGAATCCTGGTTCATCGAGTCTACTACACCCAACACATGCAATAGAAGTGACTCAACGCAAATACCAGAGATATGGAAGATATTATCACCACAATTCAAATTAGAGGATAATAAATAGTGTTAAAATGTATTCAGTTCACATACATTATAACATTCTAACAAGTTATTTATTTTTACTGTAAAAGAACATCTTATTTCCCATCTAATTGTATTTGATTGATAACACTGATATTATTATTTCCGAATGTACTTTATCTTATATTGATTTTATTCAAATGTCTAATCGCATCAATTTTTACTCATGTATATAAATGAAGCAAAAAGTTGTGGGAGTAGTTCGTTGATATGATTATGAGCAGTAATATATTGTGCTCGAAACGTGGTCATCAATTAATATTACTGTATAACAAACACTGTGCGATTTTATCAAAATGGAAAATTTTTATCCATAATGTGATAATACATTACTTACTTGATACAGAACAGTGCTTCAGAATACCTTTCAATGCCGACACCGTTTGACAGTTGATTTCTTCTGAATTCCTAGGCGAGGAATTATGCCTTAGACGTTCACTAGTAGTTGACCAGTCATTACTTTTATTAACTTGACCATTTAATTCGTTAGAAGATAACCGAATAGTATTCGATAACTTTCGATAATCTTCTAAGTTGGTATTACTTTCTTCAATAATATTGTCATTACTATCAGTATTATTATCTTCACAATTAACAGATTTATTGTCACTGGTATTCCAGCATTCAGTAGAACAACATTCATTTGGTGATAAAGAAGTAGTGACACGAGGTGAATTCAGCTGTTGGCGATTGATTATTTCTGAGTTCCTATCATCTTCATCATCTACTTGTGGTTTAGAGGAGATGTCATTGGTGTTGTCCAGTGTAGCCTCACTGTCACTACACAGACTGGAATACGTCACATTAGGCATTAGTGAATTAGAATCATGATCGGGATGGGACGATGGAGATTCCATTCCAGTGGATGAACACTCCTGAATTTTTAACGAAAGAACAAAACGACAGAAAAAGAAGACGAAATAATACTAATAATGACAGTCACTTTATTCCAAACAACAATAATAATGATACAAAAAGGAATTTTCAGAGTTCTGTACATATATTGCAACAATTTAGCTCCTTTTATAGATATACAGACATATAAAATTTTAAAAAATAATAAAACCACAAAACTGAAAGTTAGTGGAATGTAATGAACAATAAGTAATGCAATAAATAAATAAATAATGTATGCAATAATAATGATTATCCTGGCTATCATTTGCTGTTTATTAACGTATTTAAAAAGGTTGTGGGCTGCTATCTGACATTTGTCACTTCATACAGAACCTGTACTAAATATTGGTATGGTCACCATAGGTGAGCTAAAACATGTCAGTGGGAGACTGTGTATTAGGAAGTGGTCGTATTCAGCAACACGTTCAGTGACATTGCCTAAAACCCATCTTGTCTCGGACGATATTATCTACCATAAACATGGGTTTGAAGGACGCATTGGTTTAGTCTATCTTTTGAAAGCAATGCGTAGGAAATATTGGAATTTGAGGAGAGCTGCGAGAGTTAAATGTATTGTGAACAGATGTATCAGTTGCAGGACCAGATCTGTAAAACCAGACGAAAAGTTGGTGGTAGGTTTACTGGAGACAGTTATGACACCAGATTTTTGGTATTACTGCACTGGTTTAGATGACCCTGACCCCTGTGCAGTGAAGCAAGGATGCCCCACATAGGAAAGATATGGCAGCAAACCTACTTTTTTGAAGACTCAAGCAGTAAACTTGAAAGTGCAGAATGCACTGTCTATCGGTGTTTCTGCAATGGTATTTTTGTGCTTTTTCAAATGTATGAGAACTCAAAAGGAGATGTACGGTAACCTAGGTGCAAAGGCTCATTTGTTGAGCTTATTTTGAGAGAACAAGTTCGCATAGATCAGTCGTCAATACCCTAGATGACGGGAGCAGAAAGGACACATAAGAGTAAACCACTGGTAACTGTTTACGATAGCTCAAGTCGAATAGTCATTCTGACTTCCAATAAGATATTCCTGACTTGCGCTCCTAGCCAAGTTTCTCAAATGGAGACATTTTCGCGCAGAAGACTGAGGCAAAGTCAATTCTTTGTCGATGCGATTGAGAGCTGGTGGAAGCGGAAATATTGAGAGGTTAATAATCAGGTATATACGATCTGTTTATTATGAGAGGTGAACACCGCTGAGGATATATGGCCGAATAGTGGATTCAGATGTACCATTTCTGCATCTTATTAGGAGGTAGACTAATAAAAGCCAGGCTGGTTTTGATGGGGTGGTGTTAAAACCCTTTTTGAATATGTCCCTTTCAATTCTTTCCTTTGTGTTCAAATTTATACTACTTACTAATAATAAGTAGTATGAAATATATTCTCAAACATAACTTTGTTTGCTACTGAAATTTAACTCAATGTACTTAGCTCTATTTTATGTATAGTAATTAATTTCTTAAAGTTCAACATTATCCGCTTTATTTCTGTTCCCATTACTGGTAATAAGGAATCTAAATCATCAGTAGTAATTCCATACAAGGAAGGAACCTTGGAAACCTTACGGGGGAGAATTCATAACAAGGCAGGAATAAAAGTGACTGGCATTCAAACCACTCACAAACTCAATTAGAAACAAGGTTTGTCGGTTAAAGGATCCTGTCAGTGGAGCTTTTAAAACAAAACGATCTACTTTATCTAATATCCCGCTGCAATGACTGTCAGGTCAAATACATAGGTCAAAGTAGTAGAACAAGGTAAGTCAGTCAAACTAGTGGGGCGCAAAAACCTAGCAAAATCTAGATTAGTTGACCCGAATAAGATAAGAAATCTGGAGAATAGTTCAACCGTTAATAGCACTCACTACATGCAATTACACACAACCATACAATAGGATGGATGGGATAAGATGACAGTTTCAAAATCTAATGTGACAGCAAGGTGGAGGGAGAGGTTGATAACTGACTGGAGCTGTATTTATCGAATCAACTGCAAATACATGTAATAGGAATGATTCATCACCTGTGCGCCCAGATATCTGGAAAATTTTTCTACTCCTACGACAAATGGGAGAGAACAAAGAAAACTATGAAACTGAAGTTTCGAAGTTGTGTGTCCGCCCCATTCGTTGGTTTACTTTCATATTGTCTCACACACCCTGATTACACACACTCTCGAAACCTGTATTTTCTGTTGACTATATTTACATATATACACACACATCATTAAATTAAATTACTTCATCTCACTTTGTCCCATGTTCTCATTGACCATGCATATTAAAAAACTCTCTGACTATTGTGTTATTATAATTCATGAAATGATTATGAACAGTAAATTTTGTTCGAAACGTCATCCAGTAAATAATACTGTTTCACATCGTATTTGATACATCTAGTAAACAACTAATGTTGAATCATGCTGATTGTGTTTTTATGACATTCAGCCACAGACACCTTACAATTGATGTTGGCATATTATATTTTATGCTTAATATAGTAATGTATTTTAAACAAATCTTTTGTTTTTGAATTTTACGAGTCATTCAATGTGTGGTTTTAATAATTGTTGGATTATTGTCCCGAATTTCTTTTGAAAGAGAGTCACAGAATCCCTGTGTGTGTTCTTGATCAGGCAGAATTATTGCCTAACAGAAGGATACATTTCAACATGCCCTGAATTATTTTCTAACTTCAAAATCGTCACTTACTTGCGTAGCATCGGTTAACGAAGGCTCAGCTGCAATTGATTCTTGCTGAATGGCTTGGTTAGTCAAGCATTCTTTATCATCATCACCATCATGGTTGCGGTTACTGTCACCATTAATTTCAGTAGTATCAATAAATTTGACAGCACAGGGTTCTTCTTTTTTAATTAAAGGAAGTGTAACGCATAGAGTATGGGTAGATTTATCGAATTTTGCGGTACCTTCGGAAGCATCCACTTCATAAGGGAGTTTCAGGTCAAGAAGATAGGCGATAGGCTTCTCACTCTGTAAATACATAAAATTAAAATTGAATTTACCAACAAAAAGAAATTGACAGAAATAACCAGATGAGATAAGGAACGTTAGCCAGTTGTATAAACCAGACGAATAAACTTCATGTCATTGAATTATTCACGCATAACTCTATAAAGCAGATCGACGGTTGAAGTTATTGCGTAACATAGTGGGATTTAAACGCATAACCAAGTGGTCTGTAGTTAAATGGAAAAAGGCGACTGATAAAACTGTTAGATAATAAGGTTTTGTAGTGTGACAAACCAAATAAACAAAGCAAAGTAACACTAACTGACAACTTCTATGTATGACAAGTGGTAGAGATATGATGGTTGGCTGCGTTAAACACTTCAAATCTTTAAATATTCATATTAGAACAAGACAATATAAACGAACAGTTTTGTTGTTTTCAATTAGATCTTCCTCAGGCTTTACTCTAATTTACGTAGATTTATATATACAAAAAATTTAACCAATGACGGTGAGTTTGTGGATCAAATAATAATAATGTGGTAAATGATAATTAGGTTTAAGCACGTGGCGATAGGAATGACGAAGGTAGTAATATGTGTATACGTTGACAGTTCAATAAGCAAATTAGGTCATATCCTAAAAGTTACGTAACACCAAAGGTGAAGTGGACAGATAATCAGAGTTTATTAAGTAAATATCATTAAAACACGAAGGAAATAGAAAATGAGAAAGGGTGGGAGGGTTTTAATTAGAATTTACCTAAGCCAAGGGAGAGACAAAGGTACAAAAGACTTCTTTTGTTTGCAAAGAATAGGATTATTCTCTCAAATTAATTTCCATAGCTTCGGCTATGTGTTAAAGGCGAGGGGTTCTAATTCCGTTCGAAATGCTGGATGGAATGCGATAGATAACTTTGAAGGCACTAAATCTGTCCACTTGGTGACCGCTATCAATCAAATGAGCCAAAATAGAACTTCGTATGGATTTTATTTGGCCTTTTCCGAACCATGAATGGAGATACTCATTAATGCGTTTGTTAAGCTGTCTAGTTATTCGCCCTATTGTCTTTCTCCACAGGAGCAACTAAATTTATAGATACACATTGAAGTGGCACAGCTAGGTAGCTTGTCTTTCACTGGAGCAATCATAATTGGTCGGCAGCTGGAAAATGACAAACAAAGGGTGGCGAAGTATAAGTCCGTTTTATCGCTCTTGATAACCTCAGATGTAAGACTTCGCTAGCCACGTCCCCATTAAATTGCAGTTTCATGAACAGTTGTTTCTTTTTAAATGTTGTCAGTTTCTCTTTATTGTACCTGGTATTCATGTGTCTCCTTACAAATCTACTAGGATAACCCATTTGGACCAGCGTATGTTGGATGTATCCTTACTCATTTTCTAGTGAGTCATCTGTACAGATCCATCATGCTCTATTTGTGAGGCATCTGACCAAATTGATTTTTTATCGGATTGGTACAAAACTGAGGAGATGTGCATATTGTCCTACAGATGTCAGTTTTCTATATACGTCTCTCTTGAGTGAACCATCCTCTCTTCTGTCCACCATCATGTTCTTCTTCACAAGTGAAGATGAGCGATGGATGTGCATTGTTAAATATTTTATTAACATTTCATTCTTGTCAGCATTCTCTTCAAGAATAATAATAATACTTGGACTTCATTATTTGTACGACGAAATAGATTTCGAAACACCCGACCGATAACTGCTACCTTGCCGTGGTGGTCGGGCTTGAATGCCGCAGTGACCCAACAAGCTAAACTGGCTGGGACTCATGTCCCTGCAGGTCCTACCATGTCAGGAAGGTTGTTTGGATAGCGGTTAGACTAAAAGCAGTTACCATGGGGTACATGGGCTCCAGAATTCAATCGGATCAAATGGCGTATGAACCCATATGGGTCACCGGCAACCATGGGAACGCAGCTCCTGACGCTGCTCCGCTGCCTTGCGGATTAGACTCCAAGTCAAAGGCTCGAGGGGTGGTCCCTTAAGAAAACCACCTGCTTCGGTCTGGGCACCCGGGCAGTATCTCAGCCCTCACACAATATTGTGTGGTGCATCTTTCTTGGTGCCATATTGTACCAAGTTTTTCTGCGTTTAAATAAATAAATAAATAAATTTCGAAACAGCATTGATTAACCAGCTTCTGCGTTACTAACCTTCATCATTGGAGCTTTTTTAAAGCAAAGTGAATATAGCATTTCAAAGTGAGAAATGCTACAGTAAATTTGGATTTACTCGCATGCATATGAACTTGAGTTATTCACCTGCAATTCACACATAATTTACAGCTAAGTTACTTGTCTTTTGAATTCATTCAGGTAGTAAAGGGATATAAAAAAAATGTACTAATCCATCATCACAGTGATGACCTTCCATTAATTATTCTAAAGATAATTTATGGCAATATGATCTATCCATATCCCCGCCTTTTTCAAGTATTGGTTTTGTAGGGATTTTGTTTAATTGGTTGGAGGATTTCATCATAAGCTGAAATCAGTTTGAGAACCATTGGAAAGCCACCAGGCAGTACTGGACAGATTCTCCGTCCGGGGGTCGAAATCAGGACCTTCCGGTTACGAAGCGCACTCGTAGACCACTGGGAACTGACCCAATGACCCATGAATTCTAACTTCTGCCAATTCATGACATAGCACAACCACTTCGCAATGTCTTCTTCGATGATTTACTGCCTCACCTTTGACCTTTTGTATCCCACTCAATGGCCACGGCTTCCCACTAGAATCCCAGGTAACTGCCTGAACAGAGCCAGTCGCTAGTGTCCATCAGATCAATCTTTCAAGTAATGGTTTTGTGGGGACTGGATTTTTTTGACTGGATTGGAGGATTTCATCACGAGCTGACATCAGTTAGTTATGTCATGAATTGGCAGAAGTTGGAATTTATGGGCTGGCCATTGGATCGAGTGCCAGTGCCTTAATGGTCTTCGAGCTTGCTGGCCTTGTAACTAGAAGGTCCTGGGTTTGAACCCCATTGTGTGGATGTGTACTGATGAAGAGTCCCAAGCACTAGGGTAAATCATTTGTCCAGTACTCCCAGGCTGGTTTTCCAATGGTTCTCAAACTGATGTGTCAGCTCATGATGAAATCCTCCAACTATATCCCTGTCATTTAGTTGACATATGTAGCAGAGAAGTTAAATATCTTTATTGTTTTTAGTGTGAACATGTCAGACATAATCGGTCATTTGGATACCTTTCTAGCATATGATATTGTCGTCAGTTTGTCCATCGGCAGACTCAAGAGGTTAGTGTTTAATTGATTTTGAATCCATTTTTGTGCATTAAAACTGCCACAAAAAGATGTCTGGCCTTCGCACCAGATGAAAATTTTCATCGAACCAAACCAATACCGTACAGAAAGCTATTTTATTACAACGGTAACTACTTTTAGTACCATATGAACTGTGATCAAGATTTGACCGGATAGTTGCAAAATAATTGAGCGCTGAGTGAGAAGTAGACATTTATAAAATTATATTTGTAAAATCTCAGTGAAATTGAAATGATTAATTCCAACGTTTCGTTCGGCAATCTGGTCCGAACTTCTTGATTGGACAAAATTTAAAAACATGAGTTGTTCCTTTTATATGTAAACCTCTGTTATGTTAATTCGATTAATTTCCCTGAAGAAGTTCGGACCAGACTGCCGAACGAAACGTTGGAATTAATCATTTCAATTTCGCTGAGATTTTACAAATATAATTTTATAAATGTCTACTTTTAGTACCTATATTATATACAAGAGAATGTCACATTAAGACAGAACCTCAAGGGACACTAGTCTTAGCCAAGTCACTAAACTGCTACAAAACTTCTAAATAACTCAAAAAGACCTCAAATAATGGCTATTAAAGGAGAAGGAATGAAAGCAATGCTGTGCATGTGTATCAACAAAAATAAGTGAATACTACTCATTTGAACATAAGTAGAGTGTGTGGGCGGGGGGCAAAGAAATACTTACAGCCACATGTAATTGTGTTTTCTGTACATCTAAATCAAGACTTGACGATGAAGTTAAACCAGGAAATTTAATATTGACTAGCAAACGATCAGGTGGACGAAGAGGATTTACATCACCAGAGTTTCTACAATTGCTCATGTCGAAATCTGAACTGTAGGTTGTAGTGTAGTCTGGTTTAGTAGGCCCATTGATTTCGTTTGATTTGATATTTTCTAGAATTTAAACAAAAGATATACATACATATATATGTAGGGTGAATTCAAGGCACACTAAAATCTTCCAGTTGCTTTTTCGTAGTTTAAACTTCAACAATATAATTTGAACAAAGCAAGAACCACAGTTTTAGCAGAATAAAATGGTACCATCTTTTATTTCGTCGCCTTCTCGTCAGCTGCTTACAGGGCAAAGACATTATTAAATGTATCTACAAAAACAATTTAACATGCTTGAACAGAGTTCATTTTAAACAAAAATCAATAGACCAATATACGCACACACTAATAATATATATATATATATATAACATTAAACGCTATTCCGAACAATAATAATCATACACAATGAAAACTTTTCAGCATTCCACATTCAGACGAAAGAGAGATGAAAAATATCCAGTTACCAGCGTGGCAAAGAAAGACTGATAACTGCTTCTTTCTGAACGCATAAATCTGGTTTCAGGCGCTTGATGGAAATAACTTCAGCAAACTTAAGGAGTATTGAGCTCTTTTGCCTATTGATAATTTTGAACAACTTTTCAAAGTCCACTTCATGACCCATGTCAAGAAGATGCCTGGCGATGGCACTGTTTAAAGAATTTGTTCCCTTTAGACGTAAGCTTTTTGGTACATGTTCAGAAAATCGTAGATATGGCCTTCTTTCTGTTCTTCAAATGTAACTGCTCCCGCAGATACATGTAAATTTGTATATGCAGTTGGAGTTAACACGATAAGGATATCTATCGATTTTTGATTGCACCAGAGAAGAGCAAGTTGTTCAATAGACGCGGACGAGCTTAG